ACCCCAGCTAGCTCAGTGCTGCCTGCACCCCTGTCACGGTGCCACCCACAACCCCTCCGTGTGTCACACACAGCAGGCCCTGTCCCCACAGCTCCCCTTGCCAGGGCTGCAGGATGAAGCCACTTGCCCTCCTGCATCCTCGTGCCCCCTAGCCCAGGGCAGAGCCCAAAGGGATGCAGCCCCAGCCCACCCATTGCAGGGACAGATGGGGACAGAGAGGTGAGACAGTGCCCCCAGCACAGGCCCTGGGGGTTACCCTGGGCAGCAGGTCCCCATGGGGTGGCTCCAGCCCCAAGCAGAAGAGCCCAGGGCATCGCAAGACAGACCCACCTCTTCCTTGTTCTTCGCCGTGGAGTCACACGTGGTGTTTTTCGGCTTCCTCAGCGGCACCCACTCGCCGCCACGGTCGAAGGTGATCACGGACTGGATGGAGTTGTCTGGTGGCAGGAGGGAAGAGCAGACAGGAGGCCCCGGCTTTGGGAGGGGGCTCAGCACATCCTCACACTCCGTGTCACCCCCACATCTCCAGCCCCAAGACGGTCACAGCGGGAGTCCCGCTCCCCTCGCCACCCCGCGGGCGCCAGGTCTCGGCGTTAGCCCGATCCCGCTGCGCAGACGGGGACAGAAGCAGGACGGGCCATCCCACCCACCTTCCGAGAGGACGCTGGTGATGTAGATGCCCCGCAGCGAGGTGACGTTGGTGAAGTCCGTCTCGCCGCCGGTGGTGGTGTAGAGGTGCCGCTCCAAGGACTTGGAGTACACGATGCCACGGTCATCCGAGGTGTAGATGGTGCCAAAACCCGTATCTGCAGGACGGGCAACGGGACAGAAACACCCGGGGGTCAGGGAGCACCGCGACACGCACAGGCTCCATCGCTGCTCCAGCCACATCCCGTCACGGACACCCCACGCAGGGACTGCTGCGTCCCACCCACCTCAGCCACTTATTCCACCTCAGCTCTTATTCCCATGGCGCTTCCCAGGAGTCACCCCCCGGCCCTGGGGACCAGGACAAGGAGGCTGCAGAGGGAAGGGGGAGTGAGAAGACCCGGGCTGCTTGAACGGAGGGGCACCCGAGTGCACAGCTCGGAAAGAGGAACTCGGAGGAGAAACCCTGTTGCCTCCAACGGGTCCAGCACGGTCACGCTCCCCACACACCGCAAAGAGGAACGAGCTGCTTTCCTGCAGTTACTGCCAGCTAATTAGCGATGTGTTAATGAGAAATCCTCCCCCAAAGGCAGAGCCCTGCCTGGGCAGGTCAACAGAGTGCTGACAGAGTGTGGAGAGCTGCTGCGGTGCGTGTCCCCCATGCAGAGACCACAGGGGGACGTGTCCCCGTCCCTGCTGTGCCCGGCCTGGCGCGCTCACCTCCCGGCTCGTCCACGTGCATGAACACCAGGTCGTCGTTGGCGGCCAGGATGGAGTAGAACTGCTCGTGGCCCACGGAGGGCAGCTGGGCCATGTTCCAGGTCTCGCCTTGGTCGAGCGAGACGTGAATGCGCCTCGTGCTGCCCTGGAGAGCAGGAGTGCCCCTCAGCGCCAGCTCCTCCGTGCTCGGAGCGGCAGAGGGGACACGGGAAGCGCAGGGACACACCGACGTGCCCAGGGACACGTGCTGAAGTGCCCGGGTCCCCACGCCACCGGTGCTCCGGGCAGGAGGGGACAGATACCTTCTCCGTCATGACGGAGGCGAAGAGGAAGCGCCCGCCCAGGCCGAAGGAGTAGATCTTGGTGCCGATGACCTTGAAGGCTTTGCCGAAGTCGGAGGTTTTCTTTAGCTCCAGTAACCCGAGATCAGCTTCTTAAGGAGAAGGGAAGGTGGATTAAGGCGGCTGGAGTGGCCACGCAGGGCGCTGCCTCTAGCTCATCTCCACAGCCCAGTTCGGGACCTCATAACCCATTGACCGTGTCCCAGTGACCCCCTGATGGTGCCTCAGCTTTGGGCGACACCACTAAGGCCTCCTGCCCACCAACCCCGACCTAAAACCTGTGCTGGGCCCAGCTGGGCCTGGGATCTTCCCCCAAAGCCGCAGGAACCAGCGCTGCCCTCGCGGGGTCTCCGCTGCCTTGCGTGGACACCCGGGGCTGCTGCTGACCAACACTGGTGTCCTCTTCCCAGGTCCCGTCTCATTAGCTGCCTTGTCCGACACCGTTCTTGTCCCCGTCCTGTCCTTGTCCCTGTCCATCCCCCTTACAGAATTTCTCCCTTTTAAGAGGCACCGTCTACCCGGGCACTCTTCGTCTCAGTCCCCTCGGGCAGGGCTGGGCACACGGCCATGCCCAGGTCATTCCTGTCCGGAGCACTTCGTCCTCGACCTCACGCTCTGCAGCCTAAGGGACTGTGGAGGGGACAGCGGCGCCCGCGGGTCCCCGACTCGCGGGGACGGGGAGGACGACTGTGGGGCAGGGAGGGACTTACTGCAGGAGCCGTTCAGGTAGGTGGTGAAGAAGATGGTGTCGTTTGCACCCCTGCGAAGGGAAGGGGGGATCAGGATCGTATGAGGGACCCTCACACACAGCTGATGCTGGGACCTATTTTCCAGCACCAGCGGAGCTACAGCTCACATGGATTCAACCCGGAGAGCTGGGATGAGCAGCCCAGCCTTGT